TTCCATGATTCATTGTTTGCATATAACACCCAGTGCTCCATGCAGAACGTGCCCTCCTTAATACCCATCACCGGGCTAACCCATCCCCCTCTCTCCTCCCCTCTAAAACCCTGTTTGTTACTTGGAGTCCATAGTCTCTCATGGTTCGTCTCCCCCTCTGATTTCCCCCCCTTCATTTTCCCCGTCCTTCTCCTAATGTCCTCCATGCTATTCCTTATGTTCCACAAATAAGTGAAACCATATGATAATTGACTTTCTCTGCTAATACATTAATTTTTTAAAGCTGATATAATCTTGTGTTATGTTCCATTTATGTTCAAATATGTAATGCATGGATAGACCAGAAAGGAACAAGAGAAATCAAGTTGGTTAACGGGATTTTCCTCAAACTGTATTTAATGCTGTAGTATGTTTATAACATTTTTACAGTATTGATTATGCTCTACTTTAGTCACAAGACTGCTGTTCCTTTGGCCATGGCCAGTAACATTCAGTTTTTCCCAAAATGGACCGCTTGGTCCTTCATCTAGTTGCCACTTTCACTGAATCCTAACAGACTCAAAGTGAAACAAAGCTTAAACACCAGAGCAAGTCATTTGGAATGGACTTTTCAGGCAGATGGATGGGAAAAGAAGAGGGTATCGCGTTAGAATTTGTATAGCTGATTCCAGCTATTATTACTGCTTTGAGTCCAGTGGCATGCCCCTAAACCTAAAGAGAGATATTTGCACCTTACAGACGAAGTAGTCATGGAGTCTTTTTTTTTTTTTTTCCTTAAGTAGACTCCACACACAGCATGGAGCCCACTGTGGAGCTCAAACTCATGACCCTGAGATCAAGACCCAAGCTGAGATCAAGACTCCCCAGGTCACTGAGTCTTGAAGATGTGAAAAGCCATGTAATGATAGCTGGGTATAATGTGTCATTGAGGCTGCACATGCTTGAGGGGGTGGATGACTTAATAACAAGCAATAAACACATACCCCATTTTTAGGCCTTTTCTACATTTAAAAAGCCAGGGAGTCAAGAACAGAAATGGAATCCTACCTGGAGTGAGCCGGAAGTGGCCAAGGTAAGAAACCTGTGCCCAGGGGCACTCAGTGCTGGCCCCTAGATGAATACCCCCACATCACAGGTACAGGCAGCAGCAGAGCAAACATGCATTTGACAGCACAGACATAAACCTGAGTAAGGGAAACATGGTTTGGGATTTCAAACTTGAAGGAGGGGACTGAGCTTTATAAAATTCTTAAAAAACAGACAACGGGCGCCTGGGTAGCTCAGTCGTTAAGCGTCTGCCTTCGGCTCAGGTCATGATTCCGGGATCGGCTGAGCCCTGCATCAGGCTCCCTGCTACGTGGGAAGCCTGCTTCTCTCTCTCCCACTCCCCCTACTTGTGTTCTCTCTCTCACTGTCTCTGTCAAATAAATAAATAAAATCTTTAAAAAAAAAACAAAAAAAAACTTAAGACAAAACTGACCCAAGTTATTTTGTTTTAACCACAAGTATTTATTGATGGATCGAAGAATACAATTTTAATGGAACAATAAGGCACAACCGTGGATTAAAACAGTTTGCTATACAGCCAAAAGGAGGAAAAAGCCATATCTTAGGAACTTTACATATGGAAGTCAAGGAGCCTCTGAAGTACCTCTCTAACAGACGAGTGTCAGAAAATTCTTCCCTTTTATCCATTCCCTATATTACATCACTTGATCACAAAGTCAGACTGATACTTCATCCAGAATTCCTCAGTCATTTATACTTGAGTCATCTGGCCTGGCCACTCCTGTTTCCCACTCTTCCCAATCCCTTTGCAGCATCTTGTTTTTGTTTTTAAGCAATTCCCTGCCAAAAGTATTCCAAAGCAAGGAAACAAGGCCTTCCAAAGCAAGGAAACAACCAAGCGAGCAAGCAAGGAGTCAGAGAAAATCAGCCAAGGGCAGATATATAGACAAAGAGACTCATAAAGACAGGAGGACAACAGCCTGATACTGAGGTCTATACTAAGCTGTATAGGCAGAGAAGTTGCTCTGGCTCATGCAAAGGCCTGTAAATGCCACCTCAGTTTGTGCCACTGGTGCCAGACTCCTTGTTTCTAAGAGATGAGTAGTGGTTTGCAAGAGGAGCTGGGAAGTCAATGTAACCAGGCAGCTTATGATAATAATACATTCAATGCTCGGGACCTCTTCTAGGAGTGGACTATGGCTTCCAGCACTAACATTTGCCAAGTGTAAAATTCGTTGAGAATTTTGTGCAAAACTTCAAGACACTGAGGACAATCTTTAAATCTCTCAGACTGGGATAAGTTAGGCACTTCCGTTAACACTGCTCATCCAACTGGGAAATGTGACGTGAAACACATTCTAGGGCATAAGCCATGCTGCATAAGTTTGGGGATACACCAGGCTTTCAGAGTGCCCGGGCTCCTTGACCAAAAAGCCACGAGAAAGGCCCCAAGCACAATGTCAGGGCAGCCATTGTGGTGGTGATGGTTTCCGAAAACTAAGCAAACCTGCCGGCATATGGCCCTTTTCTGAAGAGTCAACACTGTACTAACAAGAGTAGCCACGTAGTTATGTGAGTTGAGAATCAGAGGCCAGAGGTAGAGCGACCTGGGCAAGCCACGTGGAAGCCTTGGCTCTACACCTCTCACCAAGGCCGCCACCTTTCACCAAGAACATCTAACCAACAGCCCTTTGATGACAGAGCAGAGTGCAGGGGACCAAGAGATGACCATTCTTTTGAGAGAAGTGTTGGTTATGGAAAATCTCCTGTAGAGGCAATATCCCAGAGACCCATTTAAGAATAAAGGTAGACAAAAACCGCCAGCCCGCCCACCATCCTGCCAAGTCAGAAACACGCTTAACAGGCATAGCTTGGGGGGCCAAGTAGAAGAGAGGGGCTGAAGCTTAATGAAGAGCAGGGAGACTGAAGAACTAAGTGACAGAGAAGTAGGAAGGAAAGGACATATAAAAAAAGGACGAAGGAGCATGCCGAAGCCTGGCTGGAGGGAAGGCAGCAAGGCTGTCTTCTACATCCAGTGAAAGAGCTTTGCTGGTTGGTTCTTGGCATGGATTTCCTCTCACTTTTTCAGACGGGATGGACATGTGGCCTTCAGCAGCGAACCAGGGGAGATGATATTTAGAAATGGAGATAACTGGTGAATGATACTGAACAGAAATAGACTGGGGTACCATTCTGTAATGCCCTGTTTATACACCAAAGGCAAGTTTACGTTGACAGAACATATTTGGGGTTGTCATGCAACAGCAGTAGTACTTTGGGAGAAGGGGAATGATGGGGTGGAGGTGGGGCTGGTGGACAGGAGGACTCTCAAGTTCCAGTTCGTAAATACTAGAAAGCAGGCAACAGTCTGGTCTCAGTCCTTCAGTGAAGAAATCGGATGCTCATTTTCTGTTCTACGTCCACCTTCTCCAAAACCTGGGGGGAAAAAACGCCCCCAAACCCAATTATGGTTATGAAGGTCAAAAGAGGAGATACCGCCCCAAGTTCTTATTGGAATGTTTTTCTCCCTCCCTCCTACGTGACAGAATTTTCAAACTTTTTCAGACTTTTTCAAACCAAGAGGTGATGGACTGACCTTAACAAATTCTGTGAAAGATATGGCGCTGTCCCCATCCTGATCAGCCTCCTGGATGGTCCTGTCTGCAATGCTGCCCAGCTGCTCATCTGAGATATTTACTCCAACCATCATGCGTAGCACCTACAGGACCAAAAGCCAGGAATTACAGGAGACTTGGGGGTCAGCAGGACTCTTTTAAAGAAAAAGATTAAAGAAAAAGCCACCTCCACCCTCTTTTCCTTTGATGTCCTCAAATGTACAGACAGAAAGTGGAAACCCTTGTCTTCTCATCTAGGCCATTCTAGACAATGATATGAGCAGAACTCTCTGGCAAGGTCACTGGATAGGAAGGCAAAGCTTCACTGGGGGAGAGTCCTTTGCATTTTACTCTTT